TCTATTTGATAGCATTCATAGTCACAGATGAAGCTCGATAAGCGTGTTAACGACTGCCTACCCGAACCACCAACACCCAATAAGAGGGCATTAGCTCGAGGTTGATCGAGGATTCTGCTTATCCTAGATACGTGCTCACATGCATCCAGAAACATCACCAGAGGCATCCTATGGACTGCTGTGCTGTTATACTCATCCAAATATGCCTCTATGACCTGAAGAGAGGACAATAAGTACACCACCTATAAATGCTAGCGAACCGGTGCGAAGGTAACTGTACATACATCCCCGACCATCTGCTTCCCCGAGAAGTATTCAATATCGGCGTAGACCGAAGCGAACAGAATGGATTCAATCGTCACCCCGGCCATGGCGTGATGATGCTCCCCCCCACCACAGTCAAGGCCTCACCTGTTTCATCCTTTCCATATCCGATATTTCAACATAGTGTTGCACCTCCGCTCCGACGTCCATGAACCGGCCAAAGACTAGCCTGTCGGCCTTCAAGACCTCATCCGGATCCACGTCGAAGTACCCTCGGAGCTAAGCATGACCATATTAAGAGCAGCGAAAGGATGACCTACCTTCTCCCTTTCCTGTTCCTCGAGCCATGCACGATCCTTATCATCGACAAGCCTATCGCCGAAAACTCTATTTATCTCATGAACCCAGCAGCTGAATGCAAACATCATCATAAGTGTCCAAGCCACCACTAGACCTACCGGATGGCCATCATTGGGTTGTTCCCTTTCTGTCTGGATAAACCGCATACGCCTAGGAAGACCTTCCAGATGTCCCTCAAGTTGAATGTGTAATGACTCTTAGCCGGTGTTGGCAGCAACGTCTCTCCTATCTTCTGGAAAACCTAACAGAGACCATTGAGCACTTACCAATGGTACAGCTCGTCACGGCATACGTCTATGATTCCATCAACCATCTTTGGCACGAGTGTTTGAACTTCTTCATCGAAAGCCTTGAAAAAGTAGTTGGCAATCGTGTTGAAGATACCACTGATCGACTGTTCCTTCAGCTCGGTGTACCCTATGAGATGATAGTGTCTCTTGAGCCTCTCTGTGATGAAGGTCCTGCCGCCTCCTGGACAGCCCATAGAACCCACAAGGACCATGTCGACGACCTTATTGAAAAGGAGTTCCTTACGGTTATACCACCCGCCGTGGTCAAGCCACATCCTGAGCAACTCTATGGGCGGCTGGGCACCATAGAATTCCTTCTGAGGCATGTTGAGGTCATCCACAAAAAGGATCATCT